GTACCACCATGCCCAGCTTATTTTTGCCTGTATGTATATAAGTGTATCACATGTGTGCAAAGCTCACAGAGACCATCTCTCTCTTTTAAGAGAGAAACGGCCAGGGATTAAACCCAGGGTCTCAATTGGACACTATCACTGAGTGACACCCCCAGTCTTTAACTACTTTTTAAGCATAGAATTCAGTGGCATTAATTTCATTCAGTATTGTGCAGCTATGGCAACTATTTCCACAACATAAATTGTACATCCATTAAGCAACATTTCCACATTACCCTCTCTGCCTAGCCCCTGGTAACTTCTCCTCTCCTTTCTGTCTTGTGACTCTTCCTGGTGTAGATACTTGATATAAGTGAAATGTTAAAGTGCAGACCTTGTAGTTTGTCATGTTTTCAAAGTTCGTCGGTGTTGTAGCGTATATTAGAACTTCATTTTTTTTTTGCTGAATGTTCCTTGGAGAAATACCCAAGTTCTCTCCTCCAAACACTTGTTCTTTTTCTTTTTATAACATTTATTTATGTGTGTATGCATGCACATATGTGTATACACATGGACATGCATGTTATGACTTGTGTAGAGATCAGAGGGCAACTTGTAGAAATCTGTTCTCTCTCTTTATCATGTGGGTCCTGGAGATTGAACTTGGGTCATAAGTCTTGGCAGCAAGTGCCTTTACCAACTGAGCCATCTTGTCAGCCCACCGTTTTTCTTTTTGAGACAAGGTTTTGTTGTGTAGCCCAGGCAGACCTGGAACTTGAAACCCTCTTGTATTTACATCCTAAGTATTGGGATTACAGATGTGTGACACACACCTGGCTCCTTTGCCTATTTTTTTAAATGAATCATTTGCCTTTTTCTTATTGAGCTGTAAGAGTCCTTTATATATCCTGGCTACTAGGCCTTTGTCATATATGTGATTGCAGTCATTTTTCACCATTCTCAAACACTATCTGTGGTTTGTCATTTTCTTTGTCATTTTTTTTAACTTTTTAAAAAAAAATTATTATTTTTATTTTATGTGTATGTGTGTATTGCCTGCATGTACGTAAGTGCACCTGTGTCATGCAATGCCCACAGAGGTCAGAAGAGGCTGTTGGATCCCCTGGGACTGGTGTTATGGACAGTTGTTAGCTGCCATGTGGGTGCTGGGATTCCGAACCCAGGTCTTCTGCAAGAACAGCCAGTGTTCTTAACTGCTGAGCCAACTCTCCAGCCCTGGTTGTCATTTTCTTTACTTTTTTTTTTTTTCTTTTTGGTCTTTCTGAGACAGGGTCTCCCTGTAGCCCCAGCTGTCCTAGAACTCACTGTGTAGACCAGGCTGGCCTTGAACTCACAGAGATCTGCCTGCCCCTGCCTCCTTAGTGCTGGGATTAAAGGTGTGTGCCACCACACCCAGCTGTCATTTTCTTAATAGTATTCTTTGATGAACAACAATTTTTAATTTGATGAATTTCAGTTATTGTATTATTCATTTTGTTTGCATTATTCATTTTGTGGGCATGGTTGTGCACGCCTGTAGTCCCAGCACTTGGGAGGCAGAGGCAGGTGGATCTCTGTGTGTTCAAGGCCAGCCTGGTCTACAGAGTGAGTTCCAGGACAGCTGGGGCTACAGGGAGACCCTGTCTCAAAAAGACTAATAAGTAAATAAATAAATAAATATTTTTTTAAGAAGTTGGATTGATATGTAGTTGACAAGGCTCGACCTGGTGGCATATTCCTGTAATCCCATTGCTGAGGAGGCTTAGGCAGGAGGCTCTGGAATTTAAGGGCAACCTGGGCTACATCATGAGCCCCTGTCTCAAAAAAAAAGGAAGAGGTGGGGTGTTGTGGCACACGCCTTTAATCCCAACAGAGAAAGGCAGATCTCTGTGCAATCAAAGCCATCTACATAGCGAGTTGTAGGCCAGCTGGGGAAAAAGGGAGCTCCTGTCTCAGAAAACCAAAGAAGAGAGAGGAAAGAAGGAGCGGTTGTCAAATTATTAAACTTAAGATAGAGGAACATGTTCTACTACTTCAATGCAGTAACAAGATCTATCAGTAACCGCTTAATTGCTATCATTTTGAAGTCGTGATGAGCACAAATATACTACAGTATGCCTAAGACTTCTGTAAAGCGATATGAAGTCATCTGTGACTCCTGTTGATGACAGTTACTAGTATGGCTAGCATGGGACTTGAAGAGTCATTTCAGTGGAAGGTGATGGCTGGGAGCAGAGGCCCAGGCAGCCTGCTTGGAATGAGAGAAAGACTAACCAGAGACCACCACTACAGTCAGTTCTGCTGATGAATTCTCCTGTGCAAGATAGGACTGAGAAGTGGAAGGATGCAGGCCAAAGGAAAGGGTGGATGAGTGCTTTTTTAATCCAGCAGTCAGCATGTTTACCTGTTGCTCAGAATGCCCTGGTTAGAGGAGGGGGTTCATTATGCAGCAGTGCTAGGTGTCCTTAGGAAGGTGAAGAAGGCTTGGAATCTGTCCCCAGAGAAACACTGTTCTTTGCATGGCAGAGACAGGCAGCATCTGGGAGAGGTGAGGTAGGTGGGAGCAGGGCCATCAGCTCTGAGTGTGGAAGCAGATGTGGAGCAGCCGTCTAGGTGAGTGGAAGGGCTGGCAGCTGCCAGCCCTGCTTACAGTGGCTGAGTATGGAAACTGGACTTAACTGGGACCCATTAATCTGAAAGAGTAGCTCCTTTATAATTTCATTTTCTGGGTAATTGCTGTAAGTTTTGGGCTGTGTCTGTATCACACCACTTTTTATAAAAGGTTGAGTTTGTCCACATCTTAAAATTCAGCTAATCATGTGTGTGTGTGTGTGGTGCTACTGCCACTGCTGGGGATTGAACCCAGAGCATCAGGCATGCTAGGCAAGCTCTCTACCGCTGGCTACACCCTTGCCCTCTGAGCCCTCTAACTAGTTTTCTGGGAAGTGATCTTGTACCCAGCTTTCCTCCTTCTGTCCTCCTGTTTGTTCCTTTTCATGATTGACTTCTTCCTTGATGGGCTCTTGTAAGATCTTTGTGGAAGAAAAGCCAAGATGTGTCCCAGGTTGGCAAGAAGTCTTACAGAAGAAGGGGGTACCTTAGGGACAGTTGAGGGTGGCATGTCTCCCCATTTCTTCTCGGGCAGCCACAGGGCAGCATATAATGTACAGGTGACAGCCCCCCCCCCGACCATTCTCCTGTGCTTTAGTCCCCACCCCCTTCTTATCTGAAATGAAAGCCACACACAGCTTTGTGCCACTTGGGAGAACACAAACCCACCACCTTTATCTTAAGACCTACAGCATCTATCACTCCACACAGCAGCCTTCCTACATCAAGCCTCAAGGGTTTTTATGGTGGTTTTCTTTTGTCCTATTGACAGTCTCCTGTTGTAGCCCAGGCTGAGCTCAGAACTCACTGTGTAGTCTCTGCTAACCTGAGAACTCTGTAGCCCAGGTTGGACTTGAGCCCGTGGCAGTTGTCCTGCCCTCAGCCTCTCAGGTGCTATGATTCTGGGTATGAGATACCACACCTGGCTTCAGGCTTGAGCTTTCTCAACAGCGATTTGCATTTTGTCTTCTTGCTTGCTTTGTGTTGTTTTTCACTGATCTCTGCTGTGAGTTTAAAACTAGAAGGCATATTGAAAGTCCTGGACTAAACACTTTATAGTTAGGGTATTTGTTTTTGGAAACTTTCCTATGTGTTTCCTATGTGTTGTGAAATTTTCCTTATTAGCTTAAGTCTTGTTAAAGATTTTCATATTTGTGTTAATGATGAACATTCTCTGTCCTTGGTGATGTGAATCTGCTGGCAAGGTTCCTAAAATACATTTGTGTTCTTTTCCATGTGTGTGTGTGACCTCTGGAGCACCTGAAAACCTAAGAATAGTACTGCCTGTATAGTGAAGGGTTGTAAGGGCCTCACCAGGTGTACAGTGAAGGCTTGTAAGAGACTCACCAGGTGAGCCCGGCTGTACCTTCTCCAAGGAGATGCCCCCTCATGCTGGCCAGGTGGTTTTACCCACTCTCAGATAGGGTAAAGCTCCTTTGCTGGGAAGATTCTTTACCTGCTGTTTCATTCGTTCATTTTTTTTAGTCACTTCTTTTGAAACAGTTTTTCTGTGTGCCCCCAAGCTTGTAGCTCTACATCTTCCATAACAGCCTCAATTGCTACTGCTGTTTTTTTGAGGGGGAGGGGATCTTTTGAGACAGGATCTCCCTGTAGCCCCAGCTGGCCTAGAACTCGCTATGTTGACCGGGCTGGCCTTGATCTCCCAAGTGCTAGAATCATTGCTAGGATTATTCCTGAGTACCCAGATTATTGCTGCTTCTTTAAAAAAAAAAATTACTTTGGTTTTTTTATTGCTATTAGTGTGTATGTATGTATGTGTATATGAGATTGGGAGGGGGGAGTGTGGAGGTCAGAGGACACCTCTATGGACAAGTCATTTCTCTCCTTCCTACCTTTACTTGGGTTCCAGGGATTGAACTGAGGCTGTCAGGCTTACATGGCAAGTGCTTTACCTGCTGAGCCATCTTACCAGCCCCTCTCAATTTCTTCTTGAGTCCATGGTGACAATTTACACTTCTTTGGAAATTTTTTCCCATTTAAGCTATTTTCTAATTTATTGCCATAAAACCTTTCTAGAAACAAGGGGATGAGGTTCACTTTATCTGTATTATTTTTTGTTGGTGTTGTGTTTGTTTTGTTTAAGACAAGGTCTCACATAGCCCAGGATGGTCTCAAACCCCTAAACTCCTGTCTCTACCTTCTGAGTGCTGGAATTACCTATGTGCCACCACACTCATTCATTTACATTTTCCTTAATAAGATTGGGTCAATGTGTAAATAAAATGAGAATTCGCTAATAATGTGTGCGTGTGTGTGTGTGTGTGTGTGTGTGTGTGTGTGTGTGTATGTAGTATGTGTAGTGTGTCATGTTGTATGCATGACTCCAGTCCCACTGTCTACCCTAGCAAGCCCTGTGTTCTGCTAAGCCAGTGCTTTTCCACCTCTTTCAGTCTTAGGAAAAGTCCTCAGTGCTGTGGGTAGTGCCCAGCTCCTGATGTCCCAGAAATTCCAGCAGTTCCGGGGCCTCTGTGAGCAGAATTTGGTGAGTGTGACTCTCGCTCCTCCTCAGGGCTTCCAACCCTTGGCTGCCCATCAGACCCCAGTGGGCCCCTTACAGCCTCTGTGACCGGCTCCATAACACAGAGGAGGTGCTGCTCCCTCATGGCAGTAGAAAGATGGTGACAGTACACACTGTGCCTAACACAGGAAGGGCTGGGGCAGCCCTCCAGAAATGGAACACTAAATTTGGTATAAAACTGCCACATAAAGTTGAAGTCAGTTGACCCTGACTTAACTTTTATATAGTCCATGCTATATCCAAGAGGACTCTCAAGGTAAGAACTAACGAAATACCACGACTAGGCTTGGTGGGTTTCCTTCTCCCTTGTCCATTAGGAGGGCCTTCCCTGCCCTGCTGGAAGCAGAAGCAGAGTCCTGGACAGCATGTCCTGGGGGAAGGGTCCTGTCCAACAACCCAGGAGCTTAAGCTCCCAAGGGTGGGAACAGTGGAAAGTGAGTCTCCAGGGCCCATGGGAAGGAAACAACAGGAATGGATTCTATGGTCATACCTACCTGGGACTGAGCCTGCCTTCTCCCCACCTCACTGGCACATACTGGCCAACAGTGTACTTCCTTTCTGTAAAATGAGGGCCAGGGCCTGCCTAGACTACAGGAGGACATGCGGCTGCTATGGATAATCCTGGTGGTGCCCACAGTCCACATGTATGTGCAGGGCTTACTCAGGATGAGACTGTTCCCCGGGACCCTTACCATGGCACTGGCACTGACCAGAGTTGGCTTCATTCACTCACACGGATCCTGACCTGGACACCAAGAATAAAGAAGCAAGCAGGTGTGGTGGCAGAGGCAGGCAGATCTCAGTGAGATTGAGGCCAGCCTGGACTGCATAGCGAATTTCAGGCCAGCTGCAGCTACAAGGAGACCCTGTCTTTAAAAAAAGGAGGAAGCAGAACTCAGCCCCAAGAGTTGCCACCCAGTGGGTCAGAGGGCCATGTGTAGGGTGGGAACTACGACAGGTTTCTGCAGTGCTGGCCCCACTGACCCCCATCTATCCCACAGAACCCTGATGCCAACCCCCGTCCAACAGCCCAGGACCTGGCAGGGTTCTGGGACCTGCTGCAGCTGTCCATCGAGGACATCAGCATGAAGTTTGATGAGCTCTACCACCTCAAGGCCAACAACTGGCAGCTGGTGGAGACCCCCGAGAAGAGGAAGGTGAGCATGGAGCAGTGCGGAGGGGAAGTCCAGGGACAAATTCCTGGTCGGCAATAACGCTGCCCACATCGGTCAGTGCTGCTTGGCTCCCTTCTCCATGTGTCGTCTTTGAGCTGGGGCTCACGTCCATCACCTCGCGGGGTCCCATCCAGCATGCTGCTGCTCACTGTGTAGTAGAGGCTGCCCCAATGCATGCCATCCTGCCCTGCATGTCCAGAAAAGGGGTCCTGGGAGAGACTCGTCCATGGTTACAAGTGCTAGTCAGGGCAACAAAATGACCCTTCTCCTGGGGCCCTGCTGCTACGGGCTATGGGGTCTGGCCCCAGTTCTGTCTCCTTGTGGCACCCATTCTTCCATAAGGCTCGGGCTGCCTCCTGTACAGCAGTGGAACCCAGGGGTCCATCATGCTGGACTGTGGCCCTGGTAAACTCTCTGGCAAAGATAGCATGTGAGATATGACTTGGGGTGGACACCCTCAGTTTAAGTCACTGCTCTGGCTGTGGTGACTCAGGCAAGTTCCTATCCCAGTCTGGGATTCCCAGTGGCACAAAGGGCAGGGGTGGGAATGGTGATCTGTCTGTCCTCTTCTGCTAGGACACTGAGTGTCTAAGCTTCCCTCTGCTCCTGTGCCTTGTGCTCCTCCCACTCTCATTGCTTCTGTGGCTTCCTGATTCCAGTGTGTGTGGCTTATGCTGGCACGGTGCGGGGAGGCAGGTGGGGCAGTGCCAGCTGCCAGCATATAGTGGAGGTAGTGCCACACAAAACGTGGCACCTTTGTTTTTGTTCCCTCCTCACTGTCTGACTAAAGGAAGAGAAGAAACCACCCCCTCCAGTCCCGAAGAAGCCAGCCAAATCTAAGGCAGCAATGAGCCGTGACAAAACCTCAGACGTGGGGGACAAGCAGCGTCAGGAGGCCAGAAAGAGACTCCTGGCAGCCAAGCGGGCAGCGTCTGTGCGGCAGAACTCGGCCACAGAGAGCGCGGACAGCATCGAGATTTATGTCCCTGAGGCCCAGACCAGGCTCTGAGACCATGAGGAGGAAGCAATCAATTTTAAGTCATTAAAAACACAAAAAACTGAATGCAAATGGAACAAGATTTTCTCAACCTTTAGTAGGGTTATTCTCTCTAGAGACCCTGAGCCAACTTTCCAATTGACGCATACAAGGGCTCACAATGTGGCTTTCTCGGGTCCCTCAAGCTTTAGGTTATGAAGACTTGATACACAAAAAAGTCAACAAAAACCACAAAGCTAGAATCTTTTTTTCCCCCGCGGGCTGGCTGGGGCGGACCAGACGGCTGGACTTTAGCAGCCCCAACCTGGCCTCCAGATGCAGTCTTTTTACCTGTTCTGTCTGATGAGAACTTAAACTAGCTTGTTTACAAGACGACGACAGTCCAAGGGCAGCCTTGGGCCCCTGCCATGTCCCTCCCTTTCCGACAACCCACTCTGACCTTGGAAATTTGTTCTCGCACTTTTCCCTTCAGAGCTCACACAGGGGTCACCATCACGGCCAGCAACTTTCTGGTTCACAGTCCTTTGGGGCTGAGGGCCTAGAGGACAGAGAGATGGACATGCATTCTTCCCTCCCCTGTCCCTCCCCAAGTGCTCACACATAGTCTCGCCCCCGCGCACAGATGAGGTGCCCTCCCTCTGCTGCCATCTGTCAGCCTAGGCAGTGTCAGGCTGGACTGGCCTCTGAGCAGATGAGGAAAGTGCTGGTCCTGGGGGAAAATAGTTACCATCCCCAGACTCCAGCCCCTTTCTTCAGCAAAAGAAAATGTATGAGTGGCTTCCAGGGGGTATCTGTCCTTGGCCACACCCTTGTCCAGTCCCGGGGGCAGGTGGCGGTGTCTGTACGTATGTGTACATATGCACATAGACCTTAGAGTGTATATTTAACGCCCATCTGCTCACCCACGCCCACCAGCGCACCTGGCAGGAGGCAGGTGTGTGAATAGCATATATTTTTACATGTACTATATCTAGGTGTGTGTACAAGTGTGTGTAAAAATATATACCTTGTGTGTAAGCAGCCCCCCCCCCTTTTGGTTGCCCTCCCAACCCGTCAGCCCAGCCTCTTGAGTTTTTTGTTCTGTTGTAATTTTTATCCCAATCCTCCTCTCTCTCCTGTCCCCCACTCCTATTCCCAGGGTGTCCTGAGCCCTGAGCTGCAAAGGCCCAGGCCTGTAGAGCGGAGTAGGGAGGGCAAGACTGGGACAGGCCGCCTGGCAGGGGCAGAACCCAGTAGACAGTTTGGCATACCAGGGGCTGCTGTATACTGTGCATACGACTCTAGGGCATTGGGAACATCCTCTTGTCCAGCGCATGCTACAGGGGTCCCCCAGGTAAAGCAAGGGCCTGCTCTGGGGCCGCATTTCAGCTTGGTTGCCCCTCTGTGACCTTGGGCAAGTCACTTGACCTCTGTGTGCCTCAACTTCCTCCTCTGTAAAATGGGGACAGACCCTGCCCCTCCCTACCTCACAGGCATGATGTGAGAATAAATGAGGTAACGTGTACGAGGGCTCATGGCATTATTGTAGTGTGGTGGTCCAGGCTGGGATAAGGAGGGTGGTAGCGGATGATCCCAAAAAACCAGCCAAACCCCCTCCCTAAAGGAAGCTTTTGGGAGACAGGCTGATTTGAGGGCTTCAGTTAATTGGGGCTCTGTGGAGCACCAGCTCTGTGATTCTGGGCAGTTTGCTGTCAATTAGGGAAACATACAGCATTGTGTTCAGTTGGCACTATGGAAGCTAAGGAGGACAGACGAATCACATGCATGTCCTTCCAGGCCAAGGTGCCCAGCAGTCAAGGGGACCCGGCATACATAGCAGCCTGTGTTCCGCCATGCCAGGGGTAGGGCTGCACAGGCTGCCTGCAGAGCTCACTGTGGTCAGGGAGCCAGCAGGGAATGAATGAGTCTGACAAGTCAGGAAGCATGGTGTCTCAGAACAAGGCTGCAGAAACCAGAACTCCATCACCCAGTGTAGTCTAGGCAGGAGCAGTCCAGTCCAGGTGGGAAGGATGCCTGATTACTGACCAGGCAGGAGGCAAGGTAGGTGCCACCCCTCAGGGATAGAAATGTACCATTTAGAAGGTTCTTGGGCCAGGCTCTGGAGCCATGTACTCCTGTTATTCCTCCTTTGGCCCAACCCAGCCAGTTTGCCAGTGACCACAGGCTCAGGAATACGCAGATCCCTCCCTGCCCCCCAGCTTGGCCCCAGCTGGACCCTTTGTTGTGAGATCTCAACTGTAAGCAGACCCCTATGCTTAGGGCAACTTGCCCTCAACATGCCTTTGTTAGGGTGGCTGACTGTAGCTGGGTCTGATTAGTTAGCACCTTCCTTCACCTACCTCAGCTGAGGCTGACTTGAAGAATAAGTGGTTTTCTGATGTGTTGGGCCAAGGCTTTTTCTGCATCCAGCATTTCACTAGTCACTCAAAGGTATGGGTGAATACACAAAGAGGCTGTATTTCTTTTCTGGTGCTGTGATAAGACACCATGACCAAGGCAATTTATAGAAGGAAGAGTATCTGAACTTATGTTTCCAGAGGGATCAGAGTCCATCATGGCAGGGAGGCATGGTGGCAAGAGGTAGCCAGGGAGAAAATGTTCACATTGTCAAGCAGGCACAGGAAACAAAGCAACTAGAAATGTGAGAAGGCTTAAATGCTCAAAGCCTGCCACACCTCCTAAAGCCTCCCAAAACAGTGCCACCAACTGGGGACAAAATGTCCAGATACTTCAAACCTATAAGGTACATGCTTATTCAAACCACCACATTCCACTCCTTGGCCCCCATACCTCATGACCATTTAGTCCACTTTGAAAAGTCCCCATAGTCTTTATCAGTATCAATACTATTCAAAAGTCCAGAGTCCAAAATCTGAGATTCAAGGCAATCTCTTAACTGTAACCCCTATAAAATCAGAAGACAAATTACATACTTTCAACATACAATGGAACCAAATACACATTTCTATTCCAAAAGGGAGGAATGGGGGAATACTGAGGAAATACTGGACCAAAACAAGACCAGAAAACAACAGGGCAAACACCAAATCTGGTAGTTCCATATCTGACTTCTGTGTCTTTTTATCCAAAGGGCTTAGATGACTCAGCTCTTCTAATTTTGCTGCGTGCAACATAAATCTCTCTTGGGCTGCTACCTGCATGCAGCTCTCCTTGACAGATGCCTCACAGCTCTAGCATTTCCAACATCGTCCTAGGGCCTCCACTGCCAAACTTCACCTTCACAGCTTCACGCAATAGCCTGCCCGGGCTTTCTTTATGCAGGGACACCCCTGCTGCATGCTGCTTGACCTTAGCAGCTCTGAAACGCCAGAGGAAGAAACAGTGACCCCTTCACGCTTGGATATTTCATGCATCTGAAGCCAGCACCACTTAAATGACACTGCCAAGTTCAGCTGCCAGGCTGGGTTGGACCCCTGCTCACTTCAGCCATATAACCAGCACCTTTTCTATGCTGTGGTTTCCTAGTAGCAGAAAACCCCTCCCATATTTTCCTTTCACAAATTGGAGATTTAGTTGGGTATGGTCTTACCCTGAAGGGACTCTTCCTTTTTTAGGTGCAAATCTCTAGACCTCCCTTAAACATCCTAATTTCCTTATCAAAGAGAGCACAGCTTTGGCTCTAACATTAATCTTCCTAGTGTTCTTTTTTTCCAAACTGTACGTTCTCTCTTTCTTTCTGCCCCTCTTGCTCTTTATCACTGTAGAGCTATATAATATTTACCATTAACAGCCACACCACCAATTCAACATTAGACTGTCTGGAAATTTCCTCCAAAGAAATTAGCCTGTTACTTTTCAACTTAGCCTCAGGCAAGCTCTTATATTCCAGCCAGACCCTGCCAAAATAGCCCAGTTGCCACTTAAAGTCCTTATTTCCCTCTGGAACTACACTGTTTCCAGTACTACTTTCTTCCAGACTCCTACTATAATGGCCTGTGAAGCTCTACTTACAGCATTCAACTGCTTTTCTAGTCCAAACTTTCGAAGTCTTCCATATTCCTCCAAAAACCCACCTGGTCAGGTTCTTCACAGCCAACACCCCATTCCTGGTACCAGCTTATCTACGAGTTACTTTTCCGTTGCTGTGATAAGACACCATGGCCAAGTCAACATATAGAAGGAAGAGTTTATCCGAACTTAGGTTTCCAGAGGGATCAGAGTCCATCATGGCAGGGAGGCATGGTGGCAAGAGATGACTGGGGAGAAAGCAGTGTTCACATCTTCAAGCAGGCACAGAAAACACAGCAACTGGAAATCTGGCAAGGCTTAAGAACTCTAAAAGCCCATCCCCAAACAGCGCCACCAACTGGGGACAAATTTCCAAATATTTGGAGCCTACGGGGGACATTCTCATTCAAACCATCACATAGGCCAAGCTGGACTTGAGGGACACAGGTCACCTAGCAGCCCAGATAACAGTCCAGCTCTACTCTCCTGGGCCTTGGGAATTTGGGGGCTGGAGGTGCTCTCAGCACTTCTAAGCGTTTGACTGCAGAGTAAGTGGACCTTGACAGATCCAGCCTGGGGGAGGGTCCTGATCTCTTGATATCAAAAGTAAAAGGGGGGGGGGCTGGAGAGATGGCTCAGTGGTTAAGAGCACTGGCTGCTCTTGCAGACCCGGGTTTGATTTCAGCATCCACATGGCGGTTAACAACTGTAACTCCAGTTCCAGGGGATCCAACACCCTCTTCTGACCTCTACAGGCATTACATGACATGAGTATACTTACATGTAGGCAATACACTCATGCACATAAAATTAAAAAATTTTTTTAAGATTTATTTTTAAAAATAGGGGTTTGTCTAGAATGTGGGGTTCTACACCTTGCCAGCCTGGTACAGTGGTGAAGGGACCCTCCCAAAATATAGCATGTATCTCCTCTTGCCTGATCACAATACTTCTATCACAGAAGAATGTTCCAGGAGCTGGAGAGATGGCTCAGCTGTTAAGAGCACTGAGTGTCTTAGTTTGTTTCTTCATTGCTGTGACAAAACACTCTGACCAATACCAACTTGGGGAGGAAAGGGTTTATTCAGCTTACATCTCCCAGGTCGCAGTCATCAGGGAGCCCAAGGTAGGAACTCAGGGCAGGAACCTGGAAGCAGGAGCTGGAGCACAGGCCATGGGGGAACACCGCTTACTGGCTTGCTCCCTTGGCCCCTACTCAGCCTGCTTTCTTATGCAACACAGGCCCACCTGCCCAGGGGTGGCACCAGTGGGCTGGGCCCTCCCACATCACTCATCAAGAAGATGCCCCTCAGACATGGCCACAGGCCAGTCCAATAGAGGAAATTCCCCAACTGAGGGTCCCTCAACCCAGGTGTGTCAAGTTGACACTAAAGCTATCCAGCACACAGTGTTCTTGCAGAGGACCTGGGTTTGGTTCCCAGCACCCACATGGCAGCTAACAAGCATCCATAACTCCAGTTCCAGGGGATCCAACGCCCTCTTCTGACCTTTGTGGGTATTGCACAACACAGGGGCACTTATATACATTCAGGCAATACACTCATACACATGAGATAAAAATAAATATTTTAAAAACAAAGGAGTGTTCCAGGTAGCACTCCCTTACCCAGGACATTTGGAGCCTAAGGTACTGAAGGTGGCCCAAGTCATGTCCCCTGCAACTTCTCCCTGGTCCATCAGAGTCCAGTTAGAGCCACTTGTTGCTTTCAATGACCAAGTTTCTCTTAGTCTTTGGAATCAACCCCAGCTGCCTCACCTTTGTGGTGTTTTTCATGACAGTGCAATTTACGTGCCTAAGCATCTTCTGAAGTGTCTTAGTTGGAACTTACCTGTTTGGTTTTGTTTTTTGAGACAGACATGTGCAGCCCAGCCTGGCCATGACTTGCCTCCCATGTGCTGGTATTACAGGCCTGTGCTTCTACATCTGGTTCCTGTTTTATTTCCTGATTGAATTCAGAGCAAACAGTTTTGACAAGAATATGACTTAGATGGTGTCCTGCCTCCTCTTAGCCTGTCCCACCAGGACACATTTGGCTCTTCACAGAAATGCTAACAGTTTCCTGGAGAAGCTGGGGATGATCCCTGGCTCTGTGATTCAGAGATAGGCAAGAAGAACCCTCCTGGAGGCTGGGGGGTGGGTGAGGCCCAGGGGAGCAGAAGACCAACAACCCAGCGTCCTCTGAATGCTCCCAGGGCTGCACATCTGAGAGCAGGGAGGCCCACATCTCCCTTTTAGAACCCCAAGCTCCCATGGTGTTGTAATCTTCAGAGACTTGCAGAGTCCTCACCAAATGACCTAAGAACAAAGTCACTGCTACCAGAGGCCATGCAGAACCTGCCTGAGTAAGTGCAGTGGAAGACAGACAGACTGACCAAGATGGCTTCTGCTTGCAGCAATGGAGTAGGGAACTTGGCTGGCATGTAAGGGAGTCCCCAGCCCCATTAAACCTGGGCTCATCTGCAATACCAGCAGGGGTCTCTGCTGCCACATGGCAGCCAGAAGGAACTGAAGTT